CAAAAAAAAAAGTCCTTTCCCCCCACATACCCGCACATTAATTTGTGCTGAATTTTTACCCTCTGCAAGACAAAGAAATCACAGAAAAACACGAGCCACCAAAAAAAAAAAAAACCCAACAATTTATTTTAAAAATTGCACAAATATCAAAAGGTGCAATACAGCTAAGGAATTCGGGGGGGGGGGGGGGGGGGGGGGGGAGACCAAGGGAGGAGCTGGGGATGAAGTGAGGATTCACCCCAGTGGAAAAACAAGTGTCAGTGCTGTAACAACATTGCCAGCCATCTCCTCTGCACCGCAGCCGAACTAGGCCTGAATGGCTTCTGTTCCACAATGGAGAAGGCTGCATTTTATCAGCTATCAATCGCTCCTCCTGCCTCAAAGGAGCTTGTTACATCAATGCTAGAAATAAAATGGGTGCATTATTAATTAAGCATTATACATTCCAGTAAACAGTAAAGAATGAGTATAATTTTTCTTTTTGAATAGGTAATCACTGACAGCATAGCTGGGCCAAGCAAATACCATTCGGCGTTCCAAAGTAGCATCTTATTTGACATTTTCCATCATAGCAATGCATAATTCACAATAACAATGCAGATTATTCCTCCCCACAGTAACCCGCCAATATTCTCCATTGTAGGAATGTGCCAAAAGTAATCTGGACTGGAAAAATAGTATGAAAAAAAAAATCCAGCAGTTCCTATAGAAGAACCCAGATGCTGTTTTCAAAGGAAACTCTGTTAAGATTCTTAAGTTACGATTCTTATCCCTAGGAGAGAAGCAATACTGATTAGCTACAGATACAAATTGGAAAACCTCAAAACTCTGTGTGTTGCATGTTTAGAATCGGTGTTATTGTTAGTTAGAGCAAGGTTGGAGAAAGAATGGCCTTTCCCAAATCTTGTTGGACCATGCTGATTAAAGGCTGTTGAGTCAATGTTCAACAAGATCTGAAGGACGACAGGTAAGAGAGAAAAATGCAGAAGCTAAAAATAAATGCACAGATGGGAGTTCAGTAGCTTCAACTGAAAAGTGTTCTGACCTAGGCCTCACAAAAGCATGAAGCAGACTCCTTGTCCCTACAAAACCCCTTTTTATTAAGCTAATGTGAATTCCTCTCATTCACATCCAGCAAAGTCCCGGCAAACAGTCTTTCCAGGGTGAATTTACAACCACAAACCTTATCAGACTTGGAGAGCTGGCAGGCCGACATCTTCCAAACGCAATGCTGTACAAGAAAATACTTGGCACGGAGTCCCTGAGAGTCACAAACAGATCTTCACACTAATGAAATGAACTAATTGTCTCCTGCAAACTCCATTCCCCTTTTGCTCCTCTTTATTTATTTATTTATTTTATTTATTAATTTAATTTGTATACCGCCCTTCTCCCAGAAGGGACTCAGGGCAGTGAACAGCCAAAATTAAAAAACATACAAATACAAAAGTTAAGATAATTAAAAAGAATTAAATCATTGGCTTCCCAATTTAAAACCCCCAAGTCCATAAAATTTAAAATCCCAATTAAGAGCCGTTTAGGCTAGGCTGGCTTGGTGGAATAAATAAGTCTTCAGGGCCTTACGGAAGGTCCGGAGGTCCGGGATCAGCCATATTCCAGGAGGCAGCTTGTTCCACAGGGCGTGTACCCCCACAGAGAAGGCTCCCCCCCTGGGGGCCGCCAGCCGACATTGCCTGACCGACGGCACCCTGAGAAGGCCCTCTCTGTGAGAGCATATTGGCCGGTGGGAGGTTATCGGTAGCAGCAGGCGGTCTCGCAAATATCCTGGCCCTAAGCCATGGAGAGCTTTAAAGATGAGAACCAATACCTTAAAGCGCACCCGGAAGACCACCGGGAGCCAATGCAGCTCGCACAGGAGAGGTGTTACATGGGAGCGCCACATCGCTCCCATAATCACCCGCGTGGCCGCATTCTGCACCAGCTGGAGCCTCCGGGTGCTCCTCAAGGGGAGCCCCATGTAGAGAGCGTTGAGTAGTCCAGGCGTGACATGACGAGGGCATGAGTGACCGTGCACAAGGAGTCCCAATCCAGAAAGGGGCGCAACTGGTGTATCAGGCGGACCTGATAAAAAGCCCCCCTGGCCACGGCCATCATATGCTCTTCTAAAGACAGCCGTGTGTCCAGAGGACACCCAAGTTGTGAGCCCCCTCTGTGGGGATCAGTGACTCGCCCCCCCAAAAGCCAGCGATGGCACCAGCTGGCTATATCGGGACGCCGGTATCCACAGCCACTCGGTCTTGGAAGGGTTGAATTGGAGTCTGTTCCTCCCCATCCAGACCCACACGGCCTCCAGACACTGGGACATTACTTCGAGGGCATCATTGGGGTGGAGATGTACAGCTGAGTGTCATCAGCGTACAGATGGCATCGCACCCCAAAACCACGGATGATCTCACCCAGCGGCTTCACATAAATGTTGAACAGGAGCGGCGAGAGGACCAAGCCTTGCGGCACCTCGCAAGCAAGGCACCTTGAGGTCGACCTCTGCCCCCCTGCCAACACGGACTGTGACCGGTCAGAGAGATAGGAGAACCGCCGCAACACAGTGCCTCCCACCCCCAATCCCCCCAGCCGGCACAGCATGATACCATGATCGATGGTATCAAAAGCTGCTGAGAGGTCTAAGAGGACCAGAACAGAGGAACAACCCCTGTCCAGAGATCTCCAGAGATCATCCACCAATGCGACCAATGCCGTCTCCGTGCTGTACCCAGGCCTGAAGCCAGACTGGCACGGATCTAGATAGACGGTTTCATCCAGGTACTGTGGGAGCTGTCGCGCAACCACACTCTCCACAACCTTCGCAATTATTCCCTATGGGAGGGGCCATTTACCATCCACCTACTCCCGAGTCGGCTCTTGTTCCTTAAATTGTTCCCTTCCCCTGGCAGCTCTGCACATGCACACATCGGGAACAGGCTCCAGCTGTTCTTCAGCCCCACTTATCTCCGACTCCGAAGGTAGCCGATAAGTGTCGGACGGCAATGGCCCCATCTCTGCCTCTGACGCAGAGCATTCATCAGAACCTTCCCCAGACTCCAGGACTGGCCCATGTTCCTTCCCAACCTCCTCACTGTTCGAGTGCTGCCAGCTCCGCTGGCCACTGGTGGGCCACAACAAAAAGGAGATATGTCTTCAGACAAAGCACTATATACCACTCTATTAATTTAGTACAGGTGGAAGCCACTGACAATATCTCAATGAAAGCAACGTCTTTTTCTTTCCTAAGGTTAAATAAATACAGTGACAGCAGATCTCTATTTAAGCCTAGGTTGCCCTCCTAATATGGCACAAGATTCTTTATACAGGGGGTTATAACTGCTTGGTTAAAGGAAGCAAAGGGTCATCCCAGAGCTTCTCCAATAATTTTTGTCCAGTTGAGTTTAATGTAAATGCAGGTAGTCCTTGACTTATAACAGTTCATTTAGTGACCGTTTGTTCTGCCCCAGCTATGGACCCCAAAGAACGCAGCACACACAAAGTCCGTTCAAACCTTAGTTTACTAAACAAACCATTTTTTTACAACAACGGCTGTTAATTAACTGCATTAACAGCCACCAAGAATTCAAAGAATAATACTGAAAGCTTACTTGGTTGGCAGAATGCCCAGAAGCAATTTGCAGGAAGCTGATAAGATAAGTAAGACAAGACACGAAGGTATGCAAATGAAGATGTTCCCTGCAAATTGCTTCAGTCGGCGTTCCTCCTTAAATAGGCTAAGGGAGTGGCCAATTAGCCCCAAGCCTTACTCTCGAGGAGACCTCCTCCTGAGGAGCCACTCCTGTCTTTTGGCAGCTCTGTGCGCCTGTGCATCGAGAAGAGGCTCCTCCTCTTCGTCCTCTTCACTTAAGGGAGCTTCTGGAGGTTCTGAAGGCCTGACTGAATCCCTGCCTCTGGCACCGCAACTTCTCCAGCCTCCTCATTGTCCAACTCAAGTGCCAGCTGCACAGGCTGCTGGCGCAGCACCACACCAGCCTCATCGCTGTCTGAATCAGCTACTAGCTGCACAGGCTGCGTACGGGCCACAACACCCTTCAAAGTTACAATGGCACTGAAAAAAGTGACATATGACCATTTTACACACTTATGACCATTGCAGCATCCCCATGGTCACAGGATTTACATTGGGATGCTTGGCAAACAACTCACATTTATGACGGTTGCAATGTCCCGGGGTCATGTGATCTTCTTTTGCGACCTTCTGACAAGCAAAGTCAATGGGGAAGCCAGATTCGCTTAACAACCATGCCACTAATTTCATAGCTGCAGTGATTCAGTTAACAACTGTGGCAAGAAAGGTCTCAAAATGGGGCAAAACTCACTTAAAAACTATCTCACTTAGCAACAGAAATGTTGGGCTCAATTGTGGTCGTAAGTCAAGGACTATCTGTACTCGTGTTCATCTGAGGCATGGGTGATATGTTGTTTCATCCCACCAGTTTTCCTTTTTTCAATTAAAAATATCCTCTTCCTAATCTGCTTTAAATGTGATCCAGATTTTGAGCGGGTGGCCCTGCTGCTACCGTAGTGCATCCATTCTGGCTAACATCGTCTCCCTGGACATGCCCCAAATGAAATCGGGATCCTTTCATTCACGATACATATGCTCCATCGCTCATTTCTCAAATCAGCAAAATTACAAATGCTGTAATCTATCCTATTGGCTATGTGAGAGCACTATCATCGTATTTTTGGCTTGGAGGCTATTAAAGGAAAAGGGTTCAAAAATAATGCACTATCATTTTAAATGTTCCGGACTGGCATAAAATAATGCGTTGCTATCTATTAATATGGCTCCTCAAAGCCAAAGATAGATTGCTGTGTTGCAGGATACGGTCAGCTTTTAAATAATAAACTCCTAAAGTCATGGCAGGTAGCAATACCTAGTAACCTGTCTGATCGAATAAGAACCAAATAAACCTTAATAGGACTGGACTAAATTAGTAGCTGGCTAAGAGACGACATGAAAAATCAAAGGATGTAAGACTAGGATTTTTATTTTTTTTTTAATCCTGGAATAAAACGAAGACAAAACACTTCTGCATTATTACAAAGAAAACCAGAAGTCAAACTTGATACAAGGGAATATATAACTTGCATAGGATAGCACAAGAAATGTAGGCCGAGTGGCAGAGATGGATTGCTTCTGAACCAAGTTCTGCTCTGCGATGATCAAATTCCCCCCCCCACATGCTCAATACATCCATTTTGTTGGACTTTAGTGATGGGGCTACACCCCAAAAACACAGTAGCCACATTGAGGCAGTATCAATAGAAGAGAATATTTGTAGTTCAAGGTTGAACTGTGGTATCCTTGGTTTTTTTTGAGCTTGGTTCTTTTTTTGAAAACATTTCATTATCCAATTACCCAACTAGGTAACATTGTCACTGCGCCAATGTTACCTAGTTGGGTAATTAGGCAATGAAACATCTGCAAGAAAACAATCAAATTCCGACAGCACCAAAACTTGCACATTCAGACAGTGTTTAATCCAAGCTTACTTAGTAAAGCAACAATAAACTAGTGTTTTTACAAATTTGTTTTTTTCCCCCAGGATGTAGCAGGCAGTTGAGAAGACTGCAGAATAATCTGGTCTATGTGGAATACACCTGCATTTTTCCTTCAAATTCCTGAACAGATATTTTCAGAAATGCTGCTGCTGCTTCTTACTCAGCAGTTGGCCAAGAGTAGCTAGCTGCATTTTTTAATTAACAACAAAACAAAACCAAGAACTGAAGAGGAGGGGAGCAACTTCCCCTACTCTTTCCTCTTCTTTGTTCCTTTCCCAAAAATTCATGGATCAAAAAGTAGAAAGGAACGAGATTTGAACTGCTCGTCTCGAAGAGTATAGTAATGCGGAAACATACAGAACCACGGATCTCATTCCTCCTACTTCTAGTTAGAACTTTTCTAGTGTTCTAGAACCCAGCTTCTGATATGCAAAGGTGAATTACAGCAGAATTAAAAGCAATTATGAGGAGGCAGTTCCCACAGTTGCCATAATGCACACCTCCCTCGTTTCACAATTTTGGCTCTGGGTCAGAGCATCTGCTCTACATATAAAAAATTGAGCATATCTAGGCTTTAAAGGACTATAGATAGAGTAAACGTTACTGAGCTAACGCAATTGTTAGTCCATCAGCATAAGTAGTGTTAAGGAGCCAGGTCACCCCCCACAGGGCAAAGATTAAGGCAAAATCTCAATTGGAATATTGCTGCACAAAACTGCAACCTGAATACCTACTGTGAAGTATATCAAGACACTGATAGCCAACTGAATAAAGCCACCTAAATAAGTATTAGCACCAAGGACAATATATTCTGCCCTTGTCCTTTATAAAAAATATATATATCTGGATAATCTCTAAATGATGAATTAGCCTCAGGAGGGTAAATAAGAGTAGTGAAAGTGTAAAAAATATGTAGACCTAAAGCTAGACGATTCTTCTAATGAGTCCAGTAAAAGAATTAATGCTTCTGACGTTATCCAGAAGTCATGAGCACCAAAGCAAAAGCTCTTTGCTTTCTTCAACATGGAATTCTCAGTTAGTCCGCGATGAGAGCCATCAAGCCTAGTTCTTCCAGTTTTGCTCGAATTATGGCATCCCAGCCTTTGTTAGCTTTGGGATTGCGTGGAGACGGGTGCATTACCCCCTCTACTCGTACTGGGATACCAGCGGCTGACAGAGCCTTGTGGGCACGCTGTTCAGCAAAGCGTCCAACCCCAATGACTGTTGCGACACCCAATAATTTCACAGCTTCACACAGGGCATCATCACAGATCTGAAGAAGCTGTTCACGCTGAGCAGCTGGCAGGTCAGCCGGTGTCAGATTGCGCCCGCTTTGACTGACAAAGAGCAGCGGGCAATGGTTGTGTACAAAGCAGCGTTGGAAGAACTTTTCAGGCTTGGTGCACACAGAGCGGAAGAAGCCCCAAAAACGGGCTCCGCTCACCTCCGTATTGGGGCACTCCAAGCCACGGATGGGCCTCTTTGGGTGTTCGCATGCTGGCCGAAACACCTGTCCGCTTATCTGCAGCCAGTCTCGAACAAGTTGCACTGCTCCAAAGGGCACCTGGAAGGCGAAATAGATGCTGTTATGAGAAAGGTTTCTTGGTGCGGGCATGAAGTGAAGGTCTGCATTTGCTTCGAGACATCTGCAGTGGACATTTAACCCCTGAGTTGGAAAAAAAAAATCATCCTCCTGAAAATGGAGATGGGAGAAAAACACATTACAAACACATTTTCCTCTCAAAATATTCCACCCTCCAATAGAGAGAGATTCCTCCATCAGGATGCCACTCTATTCTCCCTTGTTTACAGTGGTGGGTTGCCCCCGGTTCGCACCGGTTCTATAGAACCGGTAGTAAAAATGGTGGGAGGCTCCGCCCACCGACCCAACATTATCAGAACGCATGCACATGGGCATGCGCAGAAGAGCGCGCGCACGTGAAGCGGCCCTGTTGCGAACCAGTAGTAAAGGTAAGTAGAACCCACCCCTGCTTGATTAGCTCCTCAGTATCACTTCAAGAAATAGTTTGGGCAACTCACATGCCAAGAAGGAATGCGGTGCAGCAACCATCCTGAAATTAAACAGGTCTCAATACAAGCCAGTGAAGATGAGAGATGGCCTAGAACTCCCTATGGGTTGCTTTGAACCCATTTGAAAATAGGAAAATGTGAGCGAGGGAAGGAAGGAAGGAGGGAGGGAGGGAGGAAGGAAGGAAGGAAGGAAGGAAGGAAGGAAGGAAGGAAGGAAGGAAGGAAGGAAGGAAGGAAGGAAGGAAGATGGGGAAAGAGGAGCCTGAAGCTCCAAGATGGCGGACTATTGAGGAATGTACTTTAGCTATCCCACGCTTCAAAAACAGTTGTGATGTTTACTACCGATTCTGTGGGCGTGGCATGGCTTGGTGGGTGTGGCTTGGTGGGCTTGGCAGGGGAAGGATACTGTAAAATCTCCATTCCCTCCCCACTCCAGGGGAAGGTTACTGCAAAATCCCCATTTCCTCCCGATCAGCTGGGACTCGGGAGGCAGAAATAAATGGGGGCAGGACCAGCCAGAGATGGTATTTACTGGTTCTCCGAACTACTCAAAATTTCCGCTACCGGTTCTCCAGAACTGGTCAGAACCTGCTGAAACCCACCTCTGGCTCAGCTTTAACATGCTAAACAGGTTTGACTATCATTTTTCAACATCCCACACAATGTTCGATGTTTCTTTATTCAACCCTTTTGGGTGCTGTTTCCCATTTAAAACATCTCAAAGACATTTTTGTGGACTCTCTGGGTATTTCAACAGCCGCTGTCCTAACACACTTGTAGTTCACCAGTTTGGGTGCGGCTACTTTAGTCAGCATCTTCATATCTAAACCAAAAGACCTACACATCCTGTGAACATCAGCGTGTTGTTCTTGCATTTACATTTCTTAGTATGGGTCTGTAAGGATGGCCCAGGACAAATAGAAAAGTGGACAATGTCTAGTGGACTCCCCTATCTCATTCTTGAGCAGTTTGAAAAAAACAGCAGCTATAGAGGTTTGTTGGAATTGATGACGTTGCTGAGGTCTGGCGAACCGCTCTGTTTAGCTGAGCAGCTCAGATTCCACAGAGCTAATTAAGGCTCCGGAGTGGTGCTTGCTAAAGCAAACCAGGAAGCCTTTTTTGGAAACTCTACGCATCCAAGCTTCAGGAGGACATGTCCTACAGTATGTTGCAAAAGGACAGATATACCCCACCAAGGATCTCAGTTCTATAGCAAAGATTTTTTTCCCATTTGCATTTTGTTGCACTTTGATGCAACAAACTAGGCAATATTCATTATTATTTTTTTAAAAAAGTTTATAATAAAATAATAAATAAATAATAATAGAAAGACAGGAATCCTAGGCAAAGTTGAGAGAATGGCCTCTCCATGCCTCTCTGAAGCATTAGCAAATGGTTCCAAGTCCACCTCTTTGAGCCCCAAACTATTATTATGTCTCAGGAGAAGCTCCCAGGTCTCAATTAGCATGGAGACAATAGGCTTAATGTGTTATTGATGTGGTTGTACATTAATGTTTCTGCTCCCTCTGACTTTGATCCAGGGATAATGGTTTCACTGAAGCTCTTCTCTCAGGGCCCCCATCATCCACAGGGAGCCTGGTGGGGACTGGAATAAGAGCCATTTTTCAGTGGAGTGCCCCACCTTTCAAAGTCCTCTTCCAGGAAGCCCCATTTAATGTCTACCATTAACCTTTCAGCATTAGCCAAAGTTCTCCTAGGCCTTTACAATCTTGTTCCCTTTTGGCTTAAATTTCCTCTGTTACTGTGAGGTTTGATTGGCTGTTTTGCAGCAAGAACTATTTCTGTTCTTATATTTAAGGTTTTGCAGACTGCATGGAGAATGTGCTGTTGTTGAAAGTGAGCTGTATACTTTTCTAAATGATCATTAAAACCGAAATAGGAGCATATGGACAGGAGACATAGCATGTTTCTATGCCTACAATGCACGGAGCCTCCAAAGGTTCCTGTAATACAAAACTCCTCATCTCCATAACCTTTCTCACATATAATTAAAGATGACATGTACTAGGATGCTAGCCAAGGAATATCTATGCTCCAGCATTTATATTGGACTCATACCAATTTAGCTGTCATGACTTCCCCTAAACAATGTGGGAATTCTAAGGAAGGCCTTAAGGTTTTATCATTGGCAGCTAAAAGTAAGGCTGGGAATCTTCCCTGTCTGAACCCCTGGAAACAGCAGCCAATCAGCCTGCAGTGTTGAACCTGCAGTTCAACCCCAATGGGTCCAAACCTTTGGGGGTCAGTGGAACTCATTTCAGATTTTAATACAATCAAAGAAAATATCTCCAGTGAGAACTTTTTCATTCATAAAATAACTGCTATGGCAGCTGATTTGCCAAATGGCAAATGGATGGAGTTGCTCACTGCTATTCTTTCTTCAACTTACCTTCTTCACATACTTTGTCTATGAATTCCTCACTTACTCTCAATCTTTGTACAAAGCACCTTTGTACAAAGATTGAGGAGTTCATAGACAAAGTCTGTGAAGAAGGTAAGTTGAAGAAAGAGTAGCAGTGAGCAACTCCATCCATTTGCCATTTGGCAAATCAGATGCCATAGCAGTTATTTTATTTAAAGCATTTCAGCCAGCAGTGAGTCTATGGGCATTTTTAGAATCATTCTGGATTGTGTTTTCTCTTACAGAATGCTAAATTCTTTTACTTTTTTTAAAATTAAAATGAAGGTAGCCTTTAATCTAGGGAGCCAGTCTGGTGTAGTGGTTAAGGCATGAGGTTAGAAACTGGGAGATGGTGAATTCTAGTCCTGCCTTAGACACACAGCCAATTGAGTAACCTTGGGCTGCTCACTTTTTTTGAGCCCTAGGAAAGAGGCAAAGGCAAACCACTTCTGAAAAACTTTGACAAGAAAGCTACAGGGATTTTTCAAGACAGCCTCCAAAAAAGGACACATTTAAAGGAAGAGAAAAAAAAAACTTTTAAATATTTTTGGGGAAGAATTCTGTTAGACACACTGGCGTGAAGGAGTGTTGAGGTGGGAATCCCAGGACTAAATAGTTCTAGGTATGGGAAACAAATTTATTTGGTTCACATCTTATTGTGAACTCATCTAAAGTACTTTCTTAACTAAGCAAACTTCGAAACGTTATCTGGAAATATCATCTCTTGTCTGAAATTTATTTCCCTACCAATAAAAAGATAGACCCTGCCAAAACAATGCAGTGCATAAAAATAAGGTCTTATTGCAAATTATTTTTTCAATATTATTCTACGGGGGAAAAATGTTGCACAATTCATCTGAAAATATATGCATCAGTAAATAATCCTAAAACCATGTAAGGAATTTGGAGAGGACTTCTTAAAAGGCAGGGTTACAAGCTGATGTAGAATTAGCACAAGACAAATGAATGTTTGGAAAATAAATCTGTAGCTGAAAGAAATCTAAATTGATGGATTGGTCAGTCCCCAGTGATACGAAATATCCTTATCTGCATATACTGAGTGTGTACTTGTCTTTAAACTGAATGGACACATGCAGGCTTTGGGAGTGTTGAACTATGAGCACTTAAGGAATATATGATAAGCTAAACGCCACAGTCAAAAGTTCTGATAACAGAAGAGTTAACGTAAGTTCACAACACTTCTGGGAAATTAGAATCACAAAATCAGATATTAAAAATTCCATGCATGGGAAGGCTTTGCCATTGTAATGATGGCTTGATTTGAAACACGAACTCCTATTATATTGTAATTTCAATTGAGAAATACGCAAAGAGATCCCAATACCTCTTGTAATTCCATTTCTGGAACAGAGGGAAGAATTTCAGATGCAATCTTACTAGCAAGCAAGAACCCCAAGGTTCCTCTTGCTGTTATACAATTCGTTTTCTTAGCTTGTAGAACTCATATTTTTCTGACAGCAAAACAGCAAAAATACAAGTGTAAATCCTTTACTGTGTAGCCTTTTTTGTTCGGCCTTGTAGCTCTAATTTGTAGATTTTATTTAGTAAGTTTTGTTTAGCCTGGAACGTTGACCTGTAATAAAGGATTTGATCTGATTTGAAATTCAGATGTTACTTGATCTGGGGAATTTGCATTTGAGAAAATGTTTGGCTAGAAAAGATCTTCTAGCAAAGATATATATCTGTCTCCTTTTAAAAATGAGGGGGTTAAGGAAAAAAATAGCAAAGCCAAGATGTGTTTGGTTTTTGCAAAAGATGAAAAAAAGACAACTATTTGGAATTAGGTTGTAGAATTGGAAACAATTCCTGTGCTCCTACAGAACATTGGACTCAAATATCATGAAGCCTGAAAAAGGTAGGTTTGTGATGGAAACAAAGGGTAGCAAAGAAGAACGGTTGCTTTATTGCAAGCTTCAACTTGCAATTATCATGGTTTAAATAAAACTCCCACTGGTTTTTAGCTGCATTGTACAGATACACTGGGAGGCTAAATGCTTACCAGTGTGTGTGTGTATGTGTGTGTGTAAATGAAGACAAAACGAATATAAAGGAAGAAGAAGAAATGAAGAGAAAGCTAAAAGTACAAGAAAAGAAAAAAAGGAAAAAAAATAGAAAAGAAAGAAAAAAGATACAAAGAAGTTAACAGGAAAGAAAGGTTAAAAGTGCTGTAAGAAAAATGGAATAAAAATGAATTGTGTAAAGGGAAAAAAATGTTGAGTTTGCAAACAAAGCAGGGAAGGGGTTGGCATATATATGAAGAAAAAGAAAGGAAAGGAAAGGAAAGGAAAGGAAAGGAAAGGAAAGGAAAGGAAAGGAAAGGAAAGGAAAGGAAAGGAAAGGAAAGGAAGGGAAGGAAAGGAAAACTAATATTGAAATTATAAGAGAGAGATACTCTATTAATCGATATTCCATTAATATAAATTCTATACAAAATATTTCATCAATATTATTTCAACTTGTATAAAAGAAATAATATCTCCCTGGAAAAAATAGATGAATATCTAAAGAAACAAAATTTACTGAGGGTTACAGAAGAATACAGACAGATCGTGAATGGATCTATAACTATAAGGGAAGTTTCTGAAGCTATAAGAAAGATTAAACCAAGTCAGGTGACAGATTCATTATCAGGCTCTTATTATAAACATTTTGAGGATGAACTTTAACAATCTTTATAAAAGATAATGACACAATCTTACAGGGACAAAAAATGCCAGAGAATTGGAAAGATGCCAGTATAGCACTAATACTTAAAGAGGGATAAGATCTGATTTTAACAAGAAATGATAGACTATTGTTATTGAATAATGGCTGCAAGTTGTGATTCTAGCTGCTAGACTGAAAATAATTTTGCAAGAATTTATGCCTGAGGATCAGTGTGGCTTCTTACCTAAAAAGACAATCAAAAGGACAAGTTTAGTAATAAGTTGGACATTTTGGAATATATAATATTCCATATATTATTTATTATTATTATTATTATTATTATTATTATTATTATTATTATTATTATTATTATTATTATTATTATTATTATTATTATATAATAAACTAACTAACTAACTAAATATTTGGAACAACATAATAAAAAAACAAGCTAAGTTGATCTTCTTAGATGCAGAGAAGGCCTTTGACAATTTGAATTGGGCTTTCTTGTTCAAAGTTTGCAAGGGATGAATTTTGGAGATAATTTTATAAAATAGGCAAAATCAATTAACACTTCACAGAAAACACAAGTCATAAAAAAGGAACATGACAGGGACGCCCACTGTCTCCTCTCTCCTTTATTTTGGTTCGTGAAATACTGAACAGAGTTATAAAATAAGATGAGAGGATTGTGGAAGTGAAGATTAAAAAAGAAACCTATAAATTGACTTTTGCAGCTGATCTGGTGTGTGTTTTGGAAGATCCTTTAAAGGGAATTAAAACATGAATGACCAAATTCAAATAATTGGGTGCATTAGCAGGTTTCAAGATTACAAGACAAACATGTTAAACAGATCTGATGAATAAAACAGATTTTATGATTGAGAACAAAGTAAAATATCTGGGTATCAGTATAACAAATTGAACTGTGTTATTTCAAAACAACTATGTTATGGAATAAAGTTTAAAAAGAAATGTTAAGATCACAAAAACTAAAATTGTTATTGCTGGGGAGAATTTCTGTAATAAAAATGAATGTCTTGGCTAGAATGGTATTCTTGTTTCAGAAAATATCTGTTTTGAAAACTGATGTACCATTTAAACAGTGGCAGAAGGATCTATCTAAACATGTGTGGCAGGGCAAAAAACCACAAGTTAAATATAAGGTGTTAGAAGATGTAAAGGAAAAAGGAAGATGGGGTCTATTTGACTTGAAACTGTATCTTGCAGCTTGCTGTTTGGTTTGGATGAAAGAGTGGGTGCTACTGAGAAATAGAAGGACATGACCTGAGATTCGAGTGGCATGGATACTTGTCGTACGACAAAGTCAAGGTTAATGTGGATGTTAAAAATCCTTATGTTAGATATGCTATATTGAGAATATAGGATAGATACAAACTTCAGGTAAAACATTTTTCGTGGCTCTCAGCACAAGACACATTTTATAGATGAAAAATAATAGGCCAACATAAATGGTTAACTTACTGTGAGTTACTAGAATGTTGTCAAGGGGGGTATAAAATAAAATCAGGAGAAGAATTGGTGGCAGAGGGATATAGTTGCTAATGGTTTTCTTATCTACAGCTATTAGAAAACTTTAAAGTGAACAAAAAGTTCATAGTTTTGAACATTGTAAGACTGAATTTGAAATAGGATTGTGTACAAATGATGAACATGTAATTGTTAAATGTATTTCACTGAAATTTGAAACAGAAGAGCAAGTAGAAAAAAATGTATGGACTAAAATGTTGTAATCAACATTTACATTTAGTATATAGATGGAACAATAGGAAAACTTGTGGTTGAAAGGACTGAAGTTTACACTTTTATAATCCTAAAGATAATTTTTATAAAATGATATACCACTAGTATTATGTCACAAGGAAATTTGTCTAGAATGTATAAAGGCACTTCAAATTTCTATTGGAAATCTGAACATCAAGAAGGGACATTTTATCGTATTTGGTGGAGGTGTAAAAATAACTGGAAAAACTTGGATTCAAATACACACTCTGGTTCAGAGGATTTTAAAGATTAATATAAAACTGAAACCAGAGGTTTTTCGTTTGGGATGGAGAGAAAAAAAAATCATGGAACTTTGTTTTTACATATGATGACTGCAGTGAAATTATTGTATGCACAAAGATGGACTGATTTGGCATTACCCACAATGAAGGAATGATTGATGAAGATGACAAAACTTGTTGAAATGGCTAAATTGACTTCTTCATTCAGAAAAAAGACAGTATCTACATTTATTGCTGACTGAAAACCCCTGACGAACTTTTTGGATAAAACAGAAAAAAAATGAATTTAGGATTTTATGGTTTTGATGATTAGATAGGGTTGATTATAAAAAGAAGAGAGTTACATTGTAACCATAGAATAAGAGGTAAATTTACAATTGTGCTTATAACTGTTTTGTAAAGAAGATCAGAAGCCATTTCCTTGGCACTAAGTGCTTCTGACATTCAGAGAATAATCGGTCAATTTACACATACACCCACACATGTTTAAATCACAGAATCTCAGCAAGTACTTCGCCACATTATCAATTCCCTATCCATTTCCTTTCCTGGCATAGCATCAAAGCAGAAACTGAATTATCTGTCTAGGTGTTAACCTGGCTACAGTGAGAGGAGACTGATTGCAGATACTGCACACAAGATAAATGTCACATGTAGGAAATTGGAGAGACAAGAAAAACCCACCAAGCCAAAGATACAGAGAGGTACAGACCTGTTACAGAACAGGTCTGTATACCTGTCTGTACCCCATACAGAACTCTCTGTACCCCATACAGAACTGTTGAAAGGACTGTATTGTAAGCTGAAGATAGATGAAGTTGTCCTTTCAACAGTTCCAAGAAGGCTCCACACCCATTTGCACTACTCAGGTGACCCTCAGGACACAGATAAATCTCCATGTAACCTCAACAACTCTTTAAAAGAATGCAAATAACAAGCAGTCTGCAAGGAGTATAAATCCTTCCATTCCCAACCATCCAGTCAGAGCTGAAGAAGCTTCTTGGATGAGAAGCGAAACGTCTTCAAAGAAAAGCAAAATCCAGTTGCCTCTGAAAAAACACCTCTGTGCTAGACACAGAGAAGGACACCGTACTAACTCAATATGCATGGAATTCTTTCTCAGCTGAGTTTACTCGACTAGCACTCAAACAAAATGGTAGATCCCAAGATTGGGACTACAACTGATATCCATCCCAACTTCAAGGAAGAAAAGATTACTGTAAAGAAGGGTACCAGCAAGGGTTTTTACCTCTACTTCTTCCATGCTGGCCCTTCCTTCTGCTCATTCAGATAAACTATCTGTGCTTTACACGGGTACATTACAAATTACATTTCCATTAAAAATTGAGAAAACAAAGAAAGGTGAAAAGATCTTAAGGAAAAGTTGAAAGAGTTGGCTACCTTTATTATCTTCAAGAAGGAAATTTTAAAGGTTTCCATTGCCATTTTCAAGTATTTTAAATTGCTATCCTGTAGAATGTGGAGCAAATTTATTTCCTGTAGTCCCAGAAGGTAAAAATGGAATCAATCGATTCAAGTTGCAAGGGGAGGAAACAGACTTAAATATAAACATGCAAGCAACTGGACAATGAAGGAGACACCTTGGAAGGCAATGGACTTTTTTTTTCTTAAGGAGCTTTTTTAAGGAGAGGCAGGTGGCTACATGTTAGGGTACATTAGACAAATTTGAGTTCTGTATCAGCTGAAGGAATATACAGGGGCATTTGGTATATGTGCCCAATCCTAATCTGCCTTTTGCTGCAGATTCAGTTCTATTTTTGTGACTTACCCTCCCAGTCTCAGCCTTGGTTGTTTGCTTACCCCAGTCTGAGCCATGCCAAAAGGCCCTGGATTCATTCCAAGGAAGAGCACCTCTTTCCGGGAATGGCAATATTTACGTACATAGTCCTGGTGGGGCTCCCAGGCATAATCCAAAGGATTATAAACATACTGGACAGGATCAAGGAAGCTGAGAGAGTTCAGGCGGACTATCTGCTCTCGCTCAATGTGAAGAAACTGTTCAGCCAGTCCACCTCCTTCCAGAAAGTTCATGGGAACCTCCCAGGAGTTCATTGGAGCTGCTCCACCTGGCACAGAAGAAAAGAAGCATCAGTTCCCGAGATGTATGTATGCATATAAATATCCCTCTCTCTTTGAGGGAGATGGGCGGTTCAGAAATGTGAGAGATAAATAGACAGATAGGCAAATAGACAGGCAGTCTGATAGATGGATATAGATTCAGTCGTCTACGATACTTGGTGATTCTATTGGCCAGGTCTCTCTACCTCTTGTGACCTTGCATACCATGTTTCCCCGAAAATAAGACCCTGTCTTATATTTTTTTGAACCCTGAAATAAGTGCTTGGCCTTATTGCTATGTGCTCAAAAGCCCGGTTGGGCTTATTATCAGGGGATGTTTTATTTTGGGGAAACAGGGTAGATTGATTGATTGATAGACAGACAGACAGACAAGACAGACAATCTGTGTATGCTAAGGTAAACCTGGTATGAAGAAATCTGTTTATGAAGAAACCTACTTTCTCACTAAACTTAAGCCACACCTCATTCTAAGTTTTGCTGTTTATACCTTAAATAGGGGGTGGTTTATACATGTACAATGTCAACAGTAACTGAGTCCTAGCTTAATTCAGCTTTTGGTTGTAATTTCCCCCAAAATAAACATGTAAACATTCTTTATACTAAGAATATGGAAAAAGCAAGTCTGTGCACACAAAACATCAACTCGTTTTTCTCAGCATAATTTGAATGCAAATATTGCATTTGGGCCTTAAGCTTGATTAAACCTCCTCAGAAGGAGAATGATCCTAAGATAGTTAACAAACATGTTAACCATGGGAGACATGGTAGCACAGACTGGTACAAACCTTGGGCTGAAAAATATTTGTACATTCTTAAGGAAAATGAATAAAGCATGGCAGACTTCTGATATAGTTTTATGATGAACTTTTATTTTATTTTTTTCTTACCAGGCTGATTCTTTTGCTGAAATGTCCGAAAGCATTTCTAATACCCCATTCTAATATTGCCGTTCTACAACTTGTAGTGATAATGCAGCTTTTCTTACAGCCTTAGGAAGCACAGCTTGCTGAAATGAAAGGGGAAAAAAATCATAATATAATTATGGAAATTATTTTGGTTCAGACAATCTATGATGGAACGTTCCAGATTCCCTTTGCCCTAATTGGAAAATCTAAATTCACAAAAACAATGCAGACTACCCAGGAATTGCCAAACAACATGTGCATTGATTATTTTGCTGTAATAAAAATGCTTTTATTCCAAAACCAGGCAGATTATCAATTACAAAACTGAATATTTTTTTCCTACAAGAATTCCAGAAGCTCAACATCCATATAACATCCAAAAATTCAACAGAAGGCGGGTTTCCTCATAGCAGGAAAGCCTTCTCCTGTTGAATTTCAGTTCACCATACAGGCAGCAATTACATGAGGGAAAATAATTGGTTGCGTTTATTGGGCCTACGTCCTCACTAAGACCTCTCAGAGACTGAGCAACACCTAGCCCACTTTCCAAGCATTAGAGGGCCTTGGCTATCCTACAAATAAAAGAAATGGCAATGTTTGCAAAGCTGTGTGAGACCCAGTGTCACTACAGATAGTCCTTGACTTACAACCTCAGCTGAGCCCAAAATTTCTGTTGCTAAGTGAGACATTTGTTAAGTGAATTTTGCCCCATTTTGCGATTTTTCTTGCCACAGCTATTCAGTGAATCACTGCAGTTAAGTTAGTAACATGGTTGTCAAGTGAATCTGGCTCACCCATTGACTGTCAGAAGGCCGCAAAAGGTGATCACATGACTCTGGGACATTGCAACCATCATAAACACGAGTCAATTGCCAAGAGTCTGAATTTTGATCACGTGACCATGGGGATGCTGCAACGGTTTAAGTGTGAAAAACAGTCATAAGTCACTTTTTTCAGTGCCGTTGTTAACTTTGAACCATCGCAAAATGAACTGTTGTAAATTGAACACTACCTGTACAGACAGTCCTTGACTTACAATCATTCATTTAGCAATCATTTGGAGTTACAACGGCACTGAAAAAATTTAACTTACAACTGTTCCTTGCGCTTATGACCATCGCAGCATCCCCACAGAGATTCCAAACCAGCTTTGCTTAATGGGAGAAGCCGGATTTGCATCATGAGTATGTGATTCACTAATAACTGCAGGCTTAACAACTGTGGCAAAAAAGTGTGCAACTCACTTAACAATTCCCCTTACTTAGCAATGGAAATGTTGGTCCAAATTGTAGTCTTAAATTGAGGACTGCCTATATTTTTAAAATGGAAATGAAGAAACAAACTAACACCAAAACCAGTGTTTAAGATTACATCCTCCTTTGTACACAAGGACCAGGCCAAATACCCTCCTAATCCCTCCCTTCTTGCTTAGCTGTATCTTAACCAACCCATTCCCACTTAAGCACCACCACTCAGGGAGGGCTTCAAATTCTGCCCCCTTCCCTTCCTTTCAATCCATCATAGCACCCCCTTCCTCATGTCACATCTTGATCCATGGCAGCTCGCTCATTTCTTCCACAGCTGAGCGGGTGGGCAATTCCTATCACGGCTCCGCTTATAAGTGAACCAGGGAAGGCCTCCAAATATATTCCTCCACCGGGAACGTGCCTTTTATTGCCTTTTTTATTACCATAATTAGTAAAGCATTCACTCAAGATACAAAACATTACTGTAAATAACCTATAAAGGCTTGGTGCTGTGATTAAAGACAGGCAGCCACCTCCCAACATGTGCTCACTTGCTGTCCTGGAAAAAAGATAAAATAAAATTCAAGAGCTGCACTTCAACAGGAGAATATTTATTCAGCAAAGGCACTTCTGCAGCTGATTACTCAGAGGATGTTCTAAGTGGGGCCTGGAAACGTCATGCCTCAATCTTACCCTCCAAAATGTGGATTCTAATCTCATTTAGCAGGTTAAGAGACTGGGCCTCAGATCTCTGAAAAGTACCTCAATCAGTCAATCAGAATTGAGCTGGAAGGGACCTTGGAGGTCTTCTAGTCCAACCGCCTGCTCAAGCAGGAGACCCGACCTAGAAGAATGAAATATTCTAGGAAATATTAAAAAGGCAGAATATTATATTCCCTGGATGAGAAATGGAGAAACACGTTTTTTTAGGCAGGAAGCAGACTCACTCTTAATAGCCCCCACCCTCCTCAATAGCCCACAGCAGATGTCAGCACTTAAGAGATAAAGAGATGGCTAGGTCTATTCATAAGCAAATACCCTCACCCAAGATCCAACAAAGGTAGGATTAGCCCCAGCCATAATAGGAATTGCCCAAAGCCCCTTCATTGCATCACCCAGCAAGATTCAACCAAGCCTGGGACAAAGACAGCCTACAAAGTTAGCTAAGACCCCCACATAGCCCCCTGGGAGTCTGACAACCAATAGAAATGTGGTCAGCTATCCAGAATCACACGTGATTGGTGGTTCTGCTTCACCATTAAACCATCCTTCCAAGCAGCCTCCATGTTTCCAGTGTCTTTCTGCCCACTTGGAACTGAACCCAGATGGACATTTCTTCCAACACATCCTTAGAAAGGAACTCTGTCCTTAAAGAAAAAACTCCAGTCACCGGGCTACCACCAAAAAGATCCTCCTTCCGTATTTCCTCTTGATCTTGCGATACAACAGGATCTAAAAGATTATAAACTACATAGGCAATTTGGAGAAGTGGCATACAAGCCCCCGTCCCTAAGTTTACTCTTACCACTGTCAGTTCCAGCATTCAAAGAGTCTATGTTTATTTTCCCTATGGAAGTTTAGTTGTTATATGTTTGATGCAGCATAGGCTCCTAAATTAAGATTTGTGATCTGCCTTCTTTTCTGTGGCATTCTGCAACAAATTCCCTCTAAGACTCTGTTTGCAGTTTTAGCATCACTCCGGTTTTTTTAATTAAATTTCATACTCCAATGTAACTATTGGAGATTTCTTTTTACAATCTTATTCTTCTTAATGTTCAGTTTTAATTCTAATCAGAGATAATGATCTGATTCCAGCAAGAAGCAAGAACCTTCCTACCATGTTTCCCCGAAAATAAGACCTTCTTATATTTTTTTGAACCCTGAAATAAGCACTTGGCCTTATTGCTATGCGCTCAAAAGCCCGATTGGGCTTATTATCAGGGAATGTCTTATTTTGGGGGAAACAGGGTAGTGACATGTTACCAAACAGATAATTTATTTGTTTTTTCACATTTTTCTTCTATTTGCTAGTAAAGCAGCTAGACTGTGGAATCCCTACCAAACTGGATAGGATAGGGTGTGCAAATTCAAAGGGCTTCTAGAAGCAGACATGTGAATTTCCCATTTTCCAGGCTTGCCATTACAGACACGTTTGTATCAGAAGAATCAATATTTTGGATATTGTGAACCCACGCCATTGTTTATTTTTATGTTACAACCGGCATGCTGAATTGGCCGCAGAAACAAAAGTGCAAACTCATTGTGCCAATTGAAGCTTTGTGCATGTGTAATCCGGGTTTAACAACAATCAAGAGGAGAAGAAACTTGTAGTTAATTCAGAAACTTCTGCTGCATTCTATGTCTTTCCATCGTACACAATCACAGATATTTTCTATAGTTCAAAGACGGAGGGGGGGGAGAGAACAGCGAGAATCCAGAATCAGTCTTGCTTTTTCCTGCCAAATGAAAATGGGGCCTCCGTCTCTTGGCCTATTTCAAACCCTCAGAAGAAACTTTGTCTCATAAAATGCTATGGCTGCTGGGAGATTTCTGCCCTGCCAATTGCACAGAGCGTAAATCTACGAAGCTCTGGACATTAACAGCCTGAGAACTCCATGCTCCCAAAGCACAAATTAACAACTTCCCATTTGGCTATCAGTGGCATCCCAGGGTATGAGAGTGCTTAACAAGTGATTTGGGAGAAAAAAGTGAGGAAGCCAAGGGAATCCTACAAAGCGTAATTTACAGACGGGGAGTTCCTCAGCAGGCAAGCAGAACAATCTTAGCCACGAATGTCTAGGGTACAACTTTATTTGTCCTTCTGAAGAAAAAGTACTCTCAGGAAAACGTCTCTGGATGGAGATGGAAGGCAGAGTTGGAAAGAAAACGTTTTGGCCATTTTATAGTGGAGAACTAAAACAAATGCCCTCCAAAGACTATTAAATATTACCCAAAGAGAATATAAACCTGTCAGAGCAGCTTCTCTTTTTCATACTCCCTGAAGAATTACATACCACAATGGATACACCCTCTTGAGAGAAAGAGGGGTTTACTATGAGGATCCTAATACCATTACTGTAATACAAGGTCCTGATTTTGGAATTAACTTCCTGTTAGGTTGTAATTGGTGCTGAGCCAATTACAGGGGCAATTTGCCCAGCCCTAAATTTCTGCTACTGTGCCATCTATTTGCTATTTGTGTTTTTGTTACATAGTTTTGTGCGATGGAATTCTAGCTGCTTTGTGTTTTTGAAGATGTGGGAATTGGGGAAGCAATGTGTTTACAAGATGGCAATTTTACGGAGGTTACCGCCAAGTTATTTTATTGAAATGTGTTTTAATTCATCGCTTCCCTTGCTTTGGGATTGTTTTTAATAAACGAAAAGTGATATACCTTTTATAAATTAAAAAAAAAAAACTTATTAGATGTAACACAATGCAAGATAATGCAGCCTGTGAGTTTCTGTCAGTTGCTTCAATCAGGGGGGTGCCTGCCTGTTGATTTATTGTAAAATAACAAGATTATTTGAAGAAACTAAGAAAGGATTCTGACTTATAGCACTTCCATAGTGGGAACAATAAGAATTGGTTTTGTCTCCAAATGAAACACAGCTTGGTAATTAAGACGGCAGCTTCTTTTCACATATACAGATCAGCCCAATACTGTGTATACTGCTTGTGGGAGCAATCGATAGCTGGTTTCTTCCTGTTTGGTATCTATCTGCACACACAACGGCTACAATGGCTGCAAATTACAGTAGTTGAAGAATCCACACATCTGGAGAACATCCGATTGGCTTTTTTTTTTTTTTTTGCTTTTTTGCACCTGTGTCTTATTGTTAGATTTTGTGTGTCTAGCATTTCAAAAGCTCAAATTCTTCCAAATGTGATTTGAGGACATTGGAAGCTAAAGTAAAAGAATCAAGGTAATTCCTCTTGAACTTTGCTTTTCTGGCAACCTCTCTAGGGATCATCCTCAAAGAGAAGCAGCTACATATGGAGACAACCCTAGGGGACACAGTTTGAAGTAACATGGCAGCCCAAGAACTTCAGGAGATATTTCACTCATTCTAATGTAGATTGGAAAGCATCCTTTTCAAATATTTTGCCTGGTCTTATTGCACAGTTGGTTTACAGTTCTCATTTTCATGCACATGTGTGCTGTTTCAACATAACTGTGCCTTTTCTCATTGTGTCTGCATAGGCCTGATTGCTTTCTGATATACTAGGATAGCGAGACAGCTTCAGCATGCAAAACAATCTTTAGAGCAAACAGAATAGGAAACAGTGACAGAATTCAGAATTTTCTAAGCCCCCGATGCCCCCAAGACCATCTGAAAGATCTGCAAAACCAAAATTATTTTTTAGATACTGAAGATATTTGCAAAAATTTAATGTTATTGTTTTCACTATTATTTTTAATTTGTTAAAAAAGGGGGCTTTCATGAAAAATATGTTGGATCATATCACCAGAGCCTTGGTGGCGCAGCAGACTAAAGCATTGTTATTAACATCAGCTGCCTGCAATTACTGCAAGTTCAAATCTCACCAGGCTGAAGGTTGACTCAGTCTTCCATCCTTTCTAAGGTAGGTAAAATGAGGACCCGGATTGTGGGGGCAATAAGCTGACTTTGTATAAATATACAAAAGTATGAAGGCTATTGCTTAATGCATTGTAAGCCACCCTGAGTCTCCAGAGAAGGGCAGCATATAAATCAAATCAAATTTTTAAAAAAGCAAATCAAATCTAAAGGGTTTAATATTGTTGTTTTTAATGATTCAATATGTATTCTATAAATGCATGTTTTATTTTTAATAAAATTGATGTATTTATATAAATATTAATATAATCCATACAAGCAAAAGCTTTTTTGGGGTCCTAAATAATTTTTTAAAAAGAGGAGATCAAGAAGTTTAAGAAACACTGCTCTAGACTGACATGCTCAGTTCATCTAATAAATGAATTAATTCCAATCCTAAAAACGAAGCTATAATGTCGTGCCCAAATACAAAATATGGTTTAGTGCAACAAACTGGTTCACACAACAGGTTAAATCAGTGGCTAGATCTCTGGAAAGACAGTCAATTTGATATAGCGATTAAGGTGTTGGCTTAAAAACCAAGAGACTGTGAATTCTAGTCCCACTGTAGGCAGCAAAGCCATTTGGGTGACCTTGGTTCAATCACATTCTCTCAGCCCAAACCCATCTGTTGTTGTGGAAAAAATAGAAGGGAGTATCAGATATGTTTGCTGCCTTGAGTTACATATAAAGTAACAAAGGTGGAATAAAAATCTAACAAATAAGTAAATGTTGTACACATTCTAATGTACTATGCAGTTCCTTTCTAGCTGTGGAGGTATCCCAACTCATGGGATTTTTGCACCTCACAAGACTCAGCAAAATACTGACAGCACAAAACTTTCAGTCTTAAAATAGAGAGTTTGGGTTTTCATTTAACGATGATGCAAATATGCCAGGCCATATATCTTTTTTTTCTGTTGCATCTTTATGACACTGCCTTCCTCTTGTCCCCAACTCCTGGGTAAGCAGCCAACTGCTAAAGACAATTTAAAGAAAACTTTTTCCCCTTCTTCAAGCACCATCCAAGGACTAACTCAAGGTGAAGGAAGCCCATTAGACTTTGTCAGCTATTATTTTGGAGGGAATGCCAGGTGACCAACAGTGGAAAAAGAGATAATAGAAGCAGGCTAGGGATCAGCAGTGGGATCAGCAAATGTCATGCCATTATAGTTTTCTGCTAACTCAAGGAGGGCAGAGAGCATGTTAAACAGAAGTGGCGAAAGGCCTCTACATGTCCAATTCTGTGGCCTTGAAATGATAAAAAGGCTGGGGTTTTTTTCTGAACAAGAACCAATTTTATGATAATGGGCTGGGAGTTTTAAAGATTTCAGTGTTTTGATTTGTTTTTGGGTGGCTTTAAAGAAAATCAAACTTACGTATATAGAATTTATAATAACTTTACAGTCTGTAGACATAAAAACATCAAGAGATGATTTCTCATATGCAAAATTTAAATGTTCATTTTTTTTCTTGGAAATTTGTTTGTTTGACAAATTTTTAAAAGGCTCCATGAAGTTTCTTTGCATTAAGAACCAAGTAAACCAGAGTATCAACCAGCACCCCATAAACCTTACTGACAGTTTTAGGGGAGACAGTAGCTAGCAATCTTGAAAGAAGCTTCAAAAGGCTAAGAGCCCACCCTATAAAACCAACCAGGCTATAGTTAAGTCATTTTAAAGAAGGATCATATCACAAGACTATTTTGTAGAGTTACCAAGGTCTGCAAGCAGCCTGTTCCTATCACAAGGCAATATAAAACTGTCTATTAAAGAACTGGTGCCTGAATTGTCTTTTTTCCTTCTTCCCTTTTCCTTCTTCATCATCTCTCCATAAGTCGTAAACCTAAGAGCAGTAGTAAATTATTTCAGATATCCAAGTCGAAGAAAATCACAGCTTCCTAGATTTTGACTTTTTTTTCCTAAATAGCTGTTGTACTCAGTACAACTCTGTACCATATCATATAGAGCAGGGGTCTCCAACCTTGGCAACTTTAAGACTTGTGGATTTCAACTCCCAGAGTTCCACAGCCAGCTTTGGGAGTTGAAGTCCACAAGTCTTAAAGTTGCCAAGGTTGGAGACCCCTGATATAGAGCAACTCTGAACAGAGTTCACCCAGAGGAAAGTTCAGCTAAGCTCAAAACAGCATAATTTACTCTATAAGGCAGGCAATCACCACCCATATTGAGGTTGGCTATGGATAATGGGAGTTTTATCCAGTAATTTTACTGTTAGCGTATTGATACCGCTGCTCCAGATCACATGATAGCACCTTGCCAAACTGGGATAATTCTTATATATTCAAGTCAGCAATTTCCCCACCCATCTGGTTTCTTAGTATCTTTTCCTTAACCTTGACAGAAGAGCTTGGACTAATGCAAAAATGTGCAATAGTGACATCAAAGAGGAACAATAACAGTTCATCTGCAAGGCATTTTAATAAGGTATTTCAGCACATCTGATGCCTCCAGTAATCCAATTTAAGGAAGACGGCCAGCCACCAACTATCTACTTGTATCCCTTCAATTTTCAGAGGCCATTTACTCCAAATTAATAGGTGCCTGAGATAAAGAACAGATTTTCGCGTAGAGGCAAGATCCAATGGCCGGACTTATAATCATGGGATGTATGTGTGTATAATAGTGCTATGTCAAGATACTTTGCTCCACAAAGAAAACCACCTTACGTTCTTCCCGTACCCAGATTTTCCAGCCCTCCCAATAGAGAAACAACTTTGGCAGCCACGAACAAAAGTAAAGCAATCGCTGAGAGAGGGGAAAACAAAAATCGCCCTCCTGCCTCTCCTCCCTGCTGCCGCCCCTCGTTTCTCAGAACCGCCCGCCGCTCTTTCCCCCTCTTTTCTCAGGGCCGTCTTCTACGGACACTCACCAGCAATCTCTGCATCGGGCCATCTACGTAACATTTCCTGGGCGGTGGCGGCGATGGTGGCTGCTGGGAGTTGTAGTTTAAAAGAAAAGAACAATTACGACCAGTTGAGGGGGCTGTTCCTTCTTCGAACTACAACTCCCGATAAACTCTAGAGGAACCAAAAAAAAAAGGCGCTTCCGACATTTCTGGAGACCGTCATCTTTGCAGGGAATGAGACCTAAAGGGGCGTGTAGCATTAGAATAGGTGATCTTTGAATGTGCAAATAAAGAGCAGGGCTTAAACATGTGCAGACTACTGTTGCATATTCTATTCATTCCTACATCATTATGTTTTTTTTTTTTAAATAAACTTATGTCCCACCATGATGTCTCCTTTCTTATTCATTCAGTTCCCCAAAGAACTGTTCTTGGGGTCTTTCAAGATCAGATGGCTTTAAAAAAAATTTAAATTAAATTTTAAATGTATCTTGTCTATTTATGTACACTGAGAGCATATGCACCAAAGACAAATTCCTTGTGTGTCCAATCACACTTGACCAATAAAGAATTCTATTCTATTCTATTCTATTCTATTCTATTCTATTCTATTCTATTCTATTCTATTCTATTCTATTCTATTCTATTCTATTCCATTCCATTCCATTCCATTCCATTCCATAAACAACAGTCCTCCTTATCCATCCATAACTCTGATGGTCTTTAATGTGAAACTATAATTTCCATACTGCACAGCATGCAAGCAGAGCCAATGAAGTTGTACTCAAGCATAGCTGGAAAATGATGATATATAGAAAGCTGCTATTCTTTAAACACTACTTACTAAGTCTATGGGCTTTACTTCTGAGTAGCCCCATATTCGCTACCATGTTGGTTGGCCATAAATTCTCAAGAGGCTTCCATATACAAATTGCTTTAATTTCCCATGTCGGCGATGATAATAATGTCTTAATGCAGACTCAATCATTCTTAAGGGAGAGTTTTGAAATAAGAGACCTCTAAGTCTTCTGACTATAGATGGTTCTGCTCTTTATCCGGATTGAGCTTGAGGAAATTAAACCAGCTTCTCATCTAATTCATTAATAACTACAGTAATGGAATGTTCTTGTTTAGACTATAATCTTACATACATGTATAATCAACAATAAATGTGAAAAAGTCACATTGAGGAAATGCGAGTTTACTCTCAAGTGAGCATATGTAGGCTTCAGCTCTGCAGTCTGACACCATTCGTTTTATTCAGAATTCCTGCAGAGAACCATATGGGATTGCTGCTACATTTTATGCACGTAAACTTGGATTCAATTCAGTAGTTTGACATCTGAACACCCAGGCTGTTTATCGATGCTATATAACTGTTTATATTTGCCTGTTTCTAAGCCTCTCCTTCTACACATTCTTTGATAATGGCAATCTGATAAAGTTTGTGAAGAAAAACCACAGAAATCCCCTGTTGTTTGATTTTGCGCCACTCTCATAGACTGGTATTGATAGATTTCATAATTTTCATCAGAGTATATTTATAATCCATAACTTAGGAAGTCCATTTCCTATAGTAGTGATGTTCTACTTATCTCTACACACTTTTGTTGGCATCAGTATGAAAATGGATTGCCATTGCCCTTTTTTTCAATTTCTCAATCGAGCCTACAAACCTGGTGTTCTCCCCTCCAAATACTATTCAGACCTGACCCAGTTTAATTTCCAAATCCAGACAAGATCAACTAACTCACTGTGTGTCAACCTGGCGCCTGGAAAATTATTATGGGTGGCTCTATGTTCACATGCTAACATAAAATAACTATTTTAAATGTATCAAAAATATGGAAAATCTCTAAATTGCACAAGATTTTGACATTCTCATCCAGACTCACAAAAGTTGGGGCTAGGAAAATTAATAAGATTTACAAGATTTTACAAAATCTACAAGATTTTTGCAATCAAAAGAAATTAATCTTGATTTTGACTACTAAAAATGGTATGGAAAGAAATGCATGTGACAGGATGCCCAGCGACCCTATATTTTCAACCCTGACTTTATGGTCCTCAAATACTTTCAGTAAATACAGATACAGTGGTCCATGTAAAGGAAAAAGTTGGGAATCCCTGCAGTAACCATGAAAATAATCTGAATTCTGTTCAGATTATTCAGTATTTTGATATCGCTTCATCTTTCTGCAACTGAAATTGTAGAGGAAATGTTGATTAAGTACAAAATATGTGGCAAAGCCTCAGGATCAGCTTTTTTGAAAGAAAGGAAATGAGCCATGCATCTTGAGCCAAGAAATGGGGAAATACTGAATTTTTACATTCCTGGACCAAATTGCTCCTTCCAACACTGGCTTTAACTTCACACATTGCAATAAATCACATTGTACTGTAACTGTCTTGTTTGATTTCATGAAAATCCAGCCACTGTAGTTTGTAAAATATGGTTTATTATGTAGCATGTGTGAACGCACAAATGTGGTTTATTCAGTAAACCATAGCTAAACAAAGCATGATCAAATAGGATTGTTGTGGGAAATGAGGATATGTACTCTGTCTCAAACCCCTGAAAGAAAAGTGGATTAGAAATCAAGATTAAACAAACCAAAATTTAGCACAGGGGTGTCAAACTCGCGGCCAGCGGGCCAAATGCATCACACGCTGGCCACGCCCACACCCAGTTTAGCAAAGGAGAAAAACTCACGATACGTCACGTGACGCCGCCGTAACAATGCAAATTTGATACCCCTGATGTAGCATGATATATGGTTTATGATTGTATTAATTTTGCTGTATATGAACTCACTTGTGATGTAGGGTTACTTTTTGGTTGCAAAGTGGATTAGAGGATCCAGTGGTTAAATCCTTTGGGGCCAAAATCCAACCCCAAACTGTTTACATTTAATTATTTATATTTTATGTAATTAATGATTCTGCATCAATGTTGGTTACAGTTTATGCAAATTTATAAGAAATTGTTACAAAATCCAACTGTAGGAAAAATGATTAATAACCTATGCAAATAATGTCAATAGATTTGTTCAGGGACATACTTTCTGCTCTGAGTGAGGACTATGCAGTCAGTTCTCCAAACATTCTCTTCCCAGAGAAACTCCAGAGAATGGGAACATGTTGATCCATACATACCACCTTCGTCTCCCTTGCATTCCTGAGAAATTCCCCATGCTGCCTGATAATGAGCAGAAGCGACTGGCTCTCCCTGCTGTTTCTGTCGACAGTCAGGCCTTATCGGTTCTGTGTTGTAACAGACTCCAGCTCTCCCCACCCACAGGCCATTGTGTGTGGGTTGCCTGCCACAAGTGGGTGTTTAAAGGATCAGAGCTGCCACTCACTCTGAGACGCAAATATTTTGAAGGGGCAGATACCCTCTTGGCCTCTGGAGAGCAGATTCTCCTAGTCTGGGGCAGCCCAAGGTAATGACAGCTCTGATGAGCAGAAGCTCATCTGGGCTCCCAATGGTTCAAAAAATGCTTTGCCTGTTAGGCCGAGCCCTGTCTTGGGTTAATAGTGCTTATTCAGGGACAGCAGCGTTGGGAAAGGTCTCTGCTTGAGACCTTGGGATGCTGCCCAGCCCTCCTTTATCTATTCTCTCACAGACCTTGGGCTTCAGTTCCCATAGTTCACAGCCAGCAAGGCCAATCCATTTTGTGTTATGGGTCCAATTCATCTGGAGGACATCAACTTGCGGAGGAGTAGAATATTAACCAGATAGGACCAATAGGCTGATTTACTCATTTAAAAAAATAATCATCTGGTTTTGAAACAAAATATGTTTAGCTTTTCTATTCTACTGTACTTCTTTATTCTAGGTTTAAGAATTGAATCCAGTGTAGTACTTAAACCGCCTTTTATATTTGCTCTGGTGATTTGGATGCTGTTAAAGGGAAAGCTGACTCCTTCTGCAAAGCTCAGCCTTTCTGTTTTTCTGTCCAGGAGGAGGCAGGGAGCTGGTTTTCCATTTCTCCCTCAAAGAAGTATGTGCCCATCAAAATTAAAAGTCTGTCATTCTAGACAGAGGCCTGCCTGCATGTCATTAAATTTCCTCCATAATATTCTTCATCTTGGAGTTACTATTCCTTAGACCTCTTTTTAGATTCACGCAACACTATTTCATTTCAATGTGGAAAAACAGCTTGCAGTCATTTCTTGTACCTGATTTCAGAATTCAGTCTGCATGAAAGATTTTGAAGTTTGTCAGAAAGATTAGATTTTAGAAGTCAAGTGACACTATAAAATAGCCTGCTGCTGGCTTTGAATTAATGTGATATGTGAGCCCAGACCATTGTGTGGCTTTTCTAACAAATCGTGGCTTAGCACAGTGTACCAAATCTGCTAATGTTAAGTTCCCAATTTAACTGAACTGCATACATGAAAGCAATCATCTGATATGAACTAAGTATGTATGTAGCTAAAGTCCAGGAATTGGCTAAAGACAAGTAAAGTGTAACTAAACTATCATCTCATCCATTTTCATCTCTCTAATGCCATCTTCTACTTTGACTGGTTACCCGCAACAGAAAGTCAAGTGGGTGTTAAACCACCAGCAAAGCTTTCTTGCTGTCACTCACTGCTCCCCCCCCCCAAGTCCTTTTAAATAAATCCCACATCTCATGCTCTCTCCAGCAATTCCCAGAAACATCAGGAGGAAACGACAGGGTGAAAGTTCAACTACCCAATGGTTATAAATGAACTGCTTCCACAGATCAATACAGCATCCTGAAAGCAGCTGACGCCAATCCAGTTCTGCAGGGGAAGACTGGACCACTGTCTGATATATGGGCAAGGCGTTGGACCTGCCTAGAGGATTTAAACTGCTCTCTTTGCAATATAAGGAACTAATCCAATGCTGACCACCCTCACAGAGTTGTTGTAAGGATTTGAAGCTAATGCATGACAAGTGCTTTAAGGGGCTGTGTAAATGCAGTGGTGGGGTGAAAGAATCCAGATTAACAAGCAAGTTTACCCCATTCACACCACCTGGCCACAATCAGATTAAAGCTGTCTCCAAAAAA